TTGAGTTGCGAGCTAAAATTCGGGTTACGAGCCAGCTTCAGATACCCCACCGCTAGTTGGCGCAGCGAACGTCACAGTGAACACCACAACATCAGCCCAGCATCACGTGTCTCACTCGTTCACTTTTTGATTTGACATACGAGTAATTTGAGTTACGAGCTCTGTCACGGAACGAATTGAACTCGTAAGTCAAGGCCCCACTGTATATGGGGTCTAGAAGTAACTGAAAATGCCAGGCATCTTCCCTCCCTCCTCCTCCCAGAGGGGGTCTCCTTTCCCCACTTGGATCAAAACTTCCTCTCCCACCCCCCAGTGCTTCGGCTCTGGGTGAGTTCATCCTCCTCACAATCCTTGTGCCCCCAGGCCTCAGTTTCCGATCCCAGGGCGCAAGGAAGAGTGATGGGTGTGTATGTGTGCAGTAAAGAAGTCAGCTCTGCGGACTTGGCTGGTTGGGCTCAGTGGATAGAGCATCCCAGGTTCAATTCCAGGCAAGGGCACATGGTTTCAGGTTGGATCCCCAGTAGGGGACGAGCAGGAGGCAGCTGATCCATGATTCTCTCTCATCATTGATGTTTCTGTCTCTCTCTCCCTCTCCCTTCCTCTTTGAAATCAATAAAAATATATTAAAAGAAAAAGTCAGCTCCTCTCCCCAGGGCAATAATATGACCACTGCAAAGTCACTCAGAAAAGACTGGAGTCCCCGAGGGGTTGGGACGCACCCTAAATCCCCACTCCCTGCCCTGCCTCCCTCCCACCCCCGGCCTGGGACCAAGGTGGTAAAATCCTGAGGCCACGGGATCCAAACAGGTGCAACTGCCTCTAGACACTCAGCACAGCCTTTGGGATGGGCACGCGGTTGGAATGTCGCTGTCAGTGTCCCGCGTTGCATTCGTGGGGGCAGGGTGTCAGGTGGGTGGAGGGCCACGCGGGGGGCCTCATCGCACCCCAGGCGGTGCTGTCCTAGGCTGCCCAGTGCCTGCAGCGCATTTTGGCCAGGAAGGAGTCCAAGACGGGTTCCGGACGCCCCCTGGCGGGGTTTCTGGATTCGGGTCCCGCCAGGCCTTCCACCGGGCACCTCTTCTCCGCTCTAGTCCGACCCCCAACCCCCGCACCCGCGCCCCTGAGACCACACAGAAGTCCGCAAACCCTGTCTGATAGGAGGGGGGGGAGCACAGCCCCGCTGGCGCCCCGGGCCCCCTCCCAGGCGGGCCTCCACCCGTCGCCTCTCTGCGTCCTCAGCCTCGGAGCACCGGACGGCACCCAACTCCATCCCCTGCGCCCCGCGATCGCCCCGCGAACCCCT